ATTTCAATCGTGCAATCAATGAAATGACGTCCGGTTCGCATGTCAGGAATACAATCATCGATAGTTTTGTGGTGATTAGTGTTCAATCCATTGTATTAATGAGTATCCATCTATACTACACAGTTCATACAAATCTATGAACATGGAATACTTAGTCGGTAGTTTTCTGAAAGGTTTTAAGGTCACGTCAGGGTCGAAACAGAAAACAGAACTCCCACCCATTTGGAATCTCTATGGCTTAGTCCATCCAATTCTAATAAACTCTTGGTACAATTACCACGGGTGCCGCCTTCACTAATAACTTGATGCAGATCTCTTTAGCTTCCTAATCCGGTTAAGCAAACATTTGTAATCTATCACACCGGCACGTTTCCTTTAAAATGACAAATTCTGTCGACCAAATGCGGTGGTCAAGAGGTTAAGTGGTCAAGTCATCAAAATAGGGAGGAAGAAGTCTTGAATACGAATCTCACCATCGCCGCTTATCTTTTCTAATTCTGGAATTCCCCAAGACCCTTAATTCGTGATCATTCACTGTAGAATTTTATTCTCAATAAATAAATAAGGATATAAAATCACTTGCTCAGTCGACCACACCCTTGATTACACAGTTTATGAGGTCTGTTTTTCTTTGGAAAAATCAATTAATAGTGCATATGACAAGATAACTTCAATCACATTGTATATCAAACACAACAAAGCTACATATCCTGAAACAAACGCCCTAGGTATAAGTGATCTCAGTTCTCCTCAAAACGTCTTATATCTGAAACAGTCAGGTTCCTACCGTGCCTGCAACTGAAACATCTCGCATTGTTTGATATTAGCGTCAGTGGTCATGTGACAGTGGGTATTTAGAGTTCATATGGATTGTCCCTCTCTCCTCTAATCATCCTGTCATCTGTCTCAAACGTATCCCTTAGGGGGGAGGGGGTTCAGTTGTTGTATATATCCCGAATGCGGTTTCAGTCTAGCATTTGGCTCGTCAGATCTCTTTGAAAGGCTGCATGTGAAGTGTCCCGCTTCGAAGTTGACAATCGATGCACCATACTCAAGTTGATATCGACCATGGACAATTGTTAATTCGTATGGGTTCAATCAGACAGCTATTTATGAAATTCATATGTTTATCGAATGCCAAACAGGTTGTTTGTACCCAGCAGGTGTTAGCCAAGAGAATTACCTCAATTCTCTCCTCGGATTTATGTGAGCTTGGTCAACCTGCATGTGATGTGATGCTTTTCAAAAGGTTATTCTAATCTTGTGAATTAGGCTTACATATTTTTCGTAGATGGTTGAGAGCAAATAAATAATGAGTTTTGTAATCGCTTTATCAATAAACCTTACTGTGCTCCGTTTTTCCCAATCTTTCTCAATCACCTATTAAATGTTTCGATCTGCATTTTCCAGTTCCAGACTCTGTGCTGAATGTGTTTTCCAGTCCTTTGAACTGCTTCATATTTTTGACCATAACTGCGATCAGCTTTGAGCCTCTTCAGTGATCTGTTCAAATTCCAACTCTTTAAAGTAACATTGGACGGTTTCTTGCCTGAACGGTGAGAATCGACTACGAGGCGCCGCCGCCCGGTAGTGGTTAAAAGGGTGAATTCTGGTTTTCGCAGATTAACTGTATAACAATTCTACTCGAGTCATGTGTTCAGTCTTCGGTTGACGGACTGCATGATTGAATGCTACGCAGATGGAAGATTGTTGTTGTGGAGATCAAAAAACATCTTGAGGATGTTCGATTGTCGTTTTGGTGCATTGATGATCTTGCCAATTGATTCGTTTGACTGTACGAAGAGAATTATAAGCTATTTTAGAGTGTTTTTGGGACCACTGTGTAAAACGTTCAAGACGTCACGTGACTTTTCGACCTTCAATCTTGGATTTCCGGTTCATTTTCCTATCGAACTCAAATCACCAATTTTGAACACTTCACACATGGGTTATGTATCAATTTCAATATATTACAACGGAGTAAAGGTAGATTTTATTTGATTATATATACAAATATTAAACGGAGTGGCTCAAAAAATATCTTTAGAATTTTGAAACACTGGGTCCCCTTTATCCATCGTATCAAGACCGAAAGAAGACATATGTCGCGAGATGTTAACATTTCGTTTAATCTTCTCAATCGCTGAAGTAAAATAAACAAGCACATTTATAGCACATTGAAATTGTAAATCATAGAGAACGGACATGTACAGTTAGACAGGGGCTATTAGAATTTAAAAAAGAAAAATAAAGGTCAACTCCACGGCAAGTGAATTGATTGGATTAACAACTTTTGGGCACACAGAACGGAGTTATGTAATCGGATCAGTAAGGCTTCACTTATTGCCAACAGTTTTGCATTGTGATTACGTAACAACGGCTTGAAAGAGGAAGCGGGATTAACTGTGTTTAGTTGTCATGAGGTGGTTTGCAATTGATGACCCCGGGTTACGTGTGACTATCTGATTACTAGACATAGGTTGCGTGACTGACTTCACTAACCACTTTGGAATGTGTTCGGCCATCCGCTGTGATAGTTGACGGTTGGTTCTGCCTATGCATGCGTCATCGCAACTGCAGGTGAACTGGTATACAGTATGTAAGATAGAACCGGACTGCCAAACATGAACACGTTCGTCCAAATCGATTCCACGAGTAGAGGTGATAAGTCGGAGTTGAGCAGCTGGGAATGTGCGGCTGACAGCCGACTTTAACTTTTGACGCACATCGTTCAGAAGGTGATCGCCCTTGAAAGATAGTTTGATGTAAACGGCTTCCTGGGGAACAGTTGGTGATGGGTTACCCTTTTGGGATTGTTTACCATGGAAATCAATGAATCTTTCGGGGTAACCTTTTCGAAGCAATGTTTGTTTCAGGAATTCTTCTTCATCTCGTAGTGTGTCTGGGGAACAAATGCTTCTGGCTCGATGGAACAGAGTTTTTACTAGTCCACGTTTGTAAGCCATGGGTGAGAAACTGGAGAACCGTAAATATTGGCCACTCCATGTTGCTTTTCTGTGGACAGAGCGCCGTAATGTACCATCTAAGCGCCTTGTAATTCTGATATCCAAAAATGATAAAGAATCGTCACTTTCTTGTTCATGGGATACGGAAAGATTTGGATGAATAGAATTAAATTGTCTCAAAAGGGATTCGAGATGTTCACGCTCCGTAAGAATAAAAATATCGTCCA